GACTCAAACAATGATGGATCTGGACCAAACTTGGCACAAATACTCAATATGCCCAAATGGGTACACTGGTGGAGTTGGGGGAAAATAGGCCTTGAAGTTGCTGGGATTTATAGTTCACCTACAATCAAAGATCATTCTGAACTCCACCAATGATCGATTTGAACCAAACTTGGCACGCAGAACTCCCATGACCAACAGAAAATACTAGAACGGTTTGGTGGGCATTAACCTTTAGTTTTGGTGTTGTAGTTCACCTACATCCAGAGAGGAATGTGAATTCAAACAATAATGGATCTGGACCAAATTTGGCATGGATACTCAATGTGCCCAAATATGAACACTGGTGAAGTTTGGGGAAAATAGGTCTTGACATTTGGGAGTTGTAGTTGCTGGGATTTATAGTTCACCTACAATCAAAGAGCATTGTGAACTCCATCAACGATAGAATTGGGACAGACTTCCCATACAGAATCTCCATGACCAACAGAAAATGCTGCATTTTATGATGGTCTTTGGCAACCCCTCTGTCACCCCCCATGCAACACCCCCCCCCGGGGTCCCGACCCCCAGGTTGAGAAACACTACCTTAAAGCATCTTTTTAGGTGTATTAACTCTGCCTTTGCAAAAGATAGCTAGCAGCATTATTATTATTATTATTATTATTATTATTATTATTATTATTATTATATATTTCCTGCCTCTCCCTTTGGCTCGAAATGGCATACATGGGCCGTGCATGGGCCAGGGGTACATCTATACTGTTGAATTAATACAGTTTAATACCACTTTAAAGTACCTTATCTGAATGCTGTTCAATCCTGGGACTTTTTCCAAGGTCTTTAGCCTTTTCTGCCCAAAAATGGGAAACTACATATCCCAGGAACCCATGAGAGTTAAAGTGGTACCAACTGCATTCATAGATGTTCCCCACCTATGTATCTCTCCATCCTGCCATTAAGCCTGCATTAAATGGCCATGGTCAGCAGGTGGCAGTAAAGAGCAATTGAAAAATTGGCATCTCTATATAGGCCATTGCAATAGGGAGAGTTGCAATTTTTTGGACTACAATCCCCAGAATCCCCCTTATGGCCATTATTTGTAGCTAATGGCATCCCATTTGGCTTTGACCCTTGGAAGGAGAGTTCCTACAAGGCCAGAGCAGCTCTAGCTTCCTATCTAGACTAGAATTGATGCAGTTTGACCCCACTTTAAGTTGCAGTAGCTCAATGCTATGTAATCCTAGGAGTTGTGGTTTTGCAATGCTGTGTAATCCTAGGAGTTGTGGTTTTGCAATGCTATGTAATCCTGGGAGTTGTGGTTTTGCAAGGGATCTGTAGTTTGATGCACCAGTCCAAGAGAGCTGGTGCATGATCAAACTACAGATCCCGGGATTCTATTGCATGGAGCCATAGCAACAAAAGTGGTCTCAAAGTGCTTTAACTCTGCAGTATTTGTCATCAAGGGCATCCCAGGCCCCTGCCTTCATGCTGGTGTTACCAGCAGCAGGGAGTTCTACAGTTCCTGGATGCAAAGATTGGGCCAAACTGATGAAATGTGCCCCAACAGCAGTCTCAGCCAGGGACTCTGCACAGCCATAGTCTCTTTCCTTTCACTCCCTTGCGAGCCCCAACTTTGTAACAAATCCCCAAATCAAGATTAATGAAATTGTAACTTTTCACTCTCTTAGAATCATAGAATCAAAGAGTTGGAAGAGACCTCCTGGGCCATCCAGTCCAACCCCATTCTGCCAAGAAGCAGGAATATTGCATTCAAATCACCCCTGACAGATACTTTGTGTCTCTCCTTGCCTGAAACTATTTCAATGCATGAAACTAACCTTTTCCTGCCCGGAATGCCTTCCGGGCATTCCAGGAAGGCCGAATCTGCGCTCCCCAAACTGCGGATACGGAAACCCCCAGGGGCCCCCGTATCCGCGAGATGGCGGATAGCCTCCATTTTGGTGGCATATTTTTCTTGGCTTAATCCTAACACTATCTGCTATCTCGCTTTTTGGTGGGGTCTCAGGGTCCCTCCTCCTGGGGACGACCCTCCTAAAGTTCCTGTCGACTTCATATAGATGCCCCACTCTTTCCCTGTGAGGTGTTTGTTTCTCATCCGAGCCACACACAACTGGCCTCCTTGCTGTTATGCAACAAGCTCTGAGCCTCAGATGTATTTTAAAAGAAATATCTCTATTTTTAAAACGTGTGCTTGGATTGTTGTTTATTGTTTGTTTGTTTCTGCAGCCTTCCCTTTCTTCTCTTGGATGACAAAACCAAAATAGCAAATGGAAAACAGGGCGGACCTATTTTTAATGTGGATGGAACCCAAAGAAATGTTAACTTGGCTTCAAAGGTAGTATTCAAACAAATCAGTTGAAATCACCAAAAAGCATTAAAGTACGATTAAAACGAAGCACCGCTTTAATAAAAACGTTAGTGCAAAATTTATATATTGCCGAAGGCTTTCATGGCTGGAATCACTGGGTTGTTGTAGTTTTTTTCGGGCTATATGGCCATGGTCTAGAGGCATTCTCTCCTGACGTTTTGCCTGCATCTATGGCAAGCATCCTCAGAGGTAGAGGTCTGTTGGAACTAGGAAAAAGGGTTTATATATCTGTGGAATGACCAGGGTGGACAAAGGACTCTTGTCAGAAAGGAGGAAACCATGAAAATGAACACAATCTGGCTACCAGTATTTAAAAAACTCTAAAATTACAAGAGCACAACAACAGAGAGGAAGGAAACAAGGACATCTAATCACCCTCAACAAAAGATTGCTCCAGGCACTGTCAGGCAATCAAATGCTAATCAAGGTGATCAGTTGAAACATTCACACCTAGCTCCAGCAGACAAGAGTCCTTTGTCCCACCCTGGTCATTCCACAGATATATAAACCCTTTTTTCTAGTTCCAACAGACCTCACTACCTCTGAGGATGCTTGCCATAGATGCAGGCGAAACGTCAGGAGAGAATGCCTCTAGAACATGGCCATATAGCCCGAAAAAACCTACAACAACCCAAAAGTTATATAATAGTTCAACAATTCTGTTGAAACTGTATCCCTTCATTTCCTGATTGCATTGATTAGATCCAAGATAGAGTTCAAATAAATAGCAGGAAAAGAGCTAAAAACCCTTGCAATGAAATGCAAACCCCATTTTCCACCCCGGGAATGAATTATTTGCAAATGCAGGCTGAGAATTGCAAAACCCAAAAGGGCCGAGAGAGTGAGACCTTTGCTTTGGGACGGTTCAGTATTGCACACAAACTTGATTTCATGCACAAACTTACTCAAGATCTTTTTAACCTCCAGGCCTTCAATAGACTTCAATGGGCTTCTTGTCTCGACTTGGCTCCCGTCCTTAAGATATCTCATGATGTATGTATAGGCAAGCATCCCTAAAAAAGATCCAGGATATTTTTGTGTCCCTCCCAAGGGATATGATTATTATTAATGATTACTAATGATCTGCTTTCCTCTTTTGACACCCAAATAATTATCATTATCGTCTCTTTTGCCCTTGGCAGAGAAGGCTAGAGATCTTGTCAAACTATAGCTCCTGGGACTCCATAGTATTGAACCATGGCAATCGAAGCAGAGTATCATAATACTGCATTCATTTTGCATTCATTGTGCAAATGCTCCCATTGAGTAGTTGAAAGTTTGTTAACACTGCAGCATATAGGTTCAAGAGAAGGCTCAAGACTTGCAAAACTACGACGCTCAGGATTCTGTGGCAGTTCTTGTGGGGCTAAAACTGCATTAATTTTGCAGTGTTGATGTTTGCAGTGTTGATGTTCCCACTTTTGAGCCTTGGCAGTTCAAGTGGGTTAAACTGCATTCAATTGGCAGTGAATGAATTTTGCAGCATAGGTGCACCCATTTTGCAATGTAGATGCATTTTGTAGTATGGATGCTACTATTTTGCAAGATAGATGCATTTTGCAATGTAGGTGCACTAATTTCATAGTGTAAACTCACCAATTTCGCAGTGTGGATGTTCCCATTTTGCAGTGTACATGCATTTTGTAGTATGGATGCTACCATTTTGCAAGATAGATTCATTTTGCAGTGTAGATTCACCAATTTCGCAGTGTGGACACCCCCATTTTGCAATGGGGATGCCTTTTTGTAGTATGGACACACTAATTTCGTAGTGTAGGAACACCTATTTTGCAGTGTTGGTGCTCCTATTTTGCAGTGTGGATGCATTTTGCAGTATGGATTCACCCATTTTGCAGTATGGATGCCTTTTTGTAGTGTGGGTGCTACCATTTTGCAGGATAGATGAATTTTGCAGTGTAGACGCACCAATTTCGCAGTGTGGATGCACCCGTTTGCCGTGTGGATGCATTTTGCAGTATGAATGCAACCATTTTGCAGGATAAGTGCATTTCGCAGTGTAGATGCATCAATTTTTGCAGTGTGGGTGCACCCATTTTGTGGTATAGATGCATTTTGCAGTATGGATGCAACCATTTGCAGGATAGGTGCATTTCGCAGCGTAATGCATCAATTTCGCAGTATGGATGCATCCGTTTGCAGTGTGGATGCATTTTGCAATATGGATGCATGCAACCATTTTGCAGGATAGATACATTTTGCAGTGTAGACGCACTAATTTCGCAGTGTGGATGCACCCGTTTGCAGTGTGGATGCATTTTGCAGTATGGATGCAACCATTCTGCAGGATAAGTGAATTTTGCAGCACCGGCACACCCACTCTTGAGCCACGGCAGTTTAAGTGGGGCTAAACCGCCTTCATTTTGCAGTGTGGAGGCACCCACTCTTGTGCTATGGCCAGTTCAAGTGGGGCTAAATCTGCATCCCTTCTGCAGTGTGGGCTCTCCAAAGGAGGAAGGCAACGCCGGCTGCGGTTTGGGGCTGTGCTGGTAGATGGCGGTGGAGAGCGAAGGCAGGGATGCTCCTTGCCTTGGCCATCCTCCTCCTCCCTCCCTTCTCCTGCCTTGAGCATCCCTGCCTGCCCTGGACCACCCCCTGGCCCCTCCCTGGCTCCTCCTCCTTCCCCCCTCCTTCCTCCCCATCAGATGCTCCCTAGACAGGCGGCTATTTCTCAGGCGCAGCAGGAGACTCATTTAAAGGGGGGCTCCTCTCTTTCATACAATGCACCCCTCCATTGGATTTTGCCGGCAGAGACATTGGCTTCTGCATCTGCATCCTGGTACCCAGGCCGGGCACACCTGGTGATTATTTCTCTCTTTTTTTTGGGAGGGGGGATTACATCTCCCTCCCGGGACCTGGAGAGAGGGGCTTCCTTACCATAACAACACAAGGCTGCTGCTTTAGACCCCCCTCCCCATTTATTTATTTATTGCTATGCCTTTTGGGGACCCCCTGGAGCATCCCGAATAAGGCCGGATCAGCGCTCTACCTGGACGACTTAAGGAGGCTCAGAAAGGAGGGGGCACCCCCAATTATCACAGGGGACCATTGAAGAAAAGGGTGCAGGATGCAGCGGAGGCTCCTTTAATGGCCCCAGGGGTTCAGGTAAGGGGGGACCCAAAGGGTGACGAGCCCCATCATGATGATCCTTTTGGGGAACCCTTTTGGGTTTTGGGCACCTCTTGACATGAAACCCTAAAGCAAGAAGGAAGTCGAATCAGAAGAAGGACCTAAAGGTCAGGGGGGGGGTCTTGATTCCAAGGGACCCCCCAATTGCATCTACTTGCCATTACCCGCTTTCCCCAATTTGGCTGCTTTGTGTCCCCTGTTTATTGAGTTTAGAGAATAGGAACTTCCAACTGGGTTCACCTTCTGCTTTTGGGGAAAGGGGTTTCCTCCTCTTCCGATGGCCCTTGAGTTGCCCCCTTGACCCTTAAAGGCTCCCCACCTGCGTTGGGTGACCGGAAGGGGGGCATTAGGGTCCCTTTGGCCAATCGGACGGGCCTTGAGTTGCCCCCTTGACCCTTAAAGGCTCCCCACCTGCGTTGGGTGACCGAAAGGGGGGATTAGGGTCCCTTTGGCCAATTGGACAGGCCTTGAGTTGCCCACTTAACCTTCAAAGGGGTGTCAAAAGGCTCCCCGACTGCACTGGGTGACCGAAAGGGGGGATTGGGGACCCCTTGGCCAGTTGACACCAAATACTCTTCCTAGGGTCATCCAAGAGGGCAAAAGGGGAGAATTGGGGATCATAGATAGATAGATAGATAGATAGATAGATAGATGCCACCAAGGGTTCTTCATAGGGTCACCTTAGCTGTTGAAGGCAAAAAGGGGGGATTGGGGACCCTTTGGCCAATCGGACGCTGCCAAAAACTCCTTGTACGGTCACTGAAGCCATTGGGGGCGAAAGGGAGGGGATTCAGGACCCTTTATCCACCCTTTAGCTCCTTTTAAGGTCATCCAAAGTGGCCAAAGAGCAGGATTGTCCATCTGGACGCCACCAAGAGCATTTGGTGCGCCTCTGGTTCTTGCCCCTTGCTTAAGAAACCTTATGTGATCTATTGAGTTGCCATAAGAGGCCACTTTGAGGCGCAGTTGGGGCAACGTTGAACTTAGCCGCGCCAAAGCGGGTTGTCCTTTGCCACCTCTCGGTAGGTGACTCCCACTGGCCAAGATGGTGGGACCATGAGAGAGGTTGTCTCTGTTGAATCTGCTACAGTGTTCCCTCACTTATCGCGGGTGTTACGTTCCAGGACGACCCATGAAAAGTGAAAATCCGCGATGTAGGGAGGCAAAACCCGCAAAACAGCAAGTCCGCGAAAAGCGAACCACGAAGTAGCGAGGGCACACTGTATTGAGTTGCCAACCCAGTTTTACCTTGATTGGACCCTTGTTTAGTTTGTCTCCAACTCCTGCCCCTTCCCTATGTGATCAATGGGGTCGCCATAGACCCAAAGTCATCCCACCAGAGACCGGTCAGTGGTCCGTTGCCACCGCCGCCGCCATGGGCACGGTGCTGTCCCTTTCCCCGTCCGCCCGGAAGGCCAGCCTTTACGACAACGACAACGACACCGGCGACTCCTGCAGCTCTTTGGCGCACTACCCATCCTTGACCGGGGCGAAGGGCAGTTCCCAGAAGCCGGAGAAGACCCTCAAGCGCCACTCCATCTTCATCCCGGCCTTGACCTGGAAGCGGTTGGTGGCCTCCACGAAGAAGCGGGGCTCCCGCTCGAGCAAGGCCTCCGCGCACAACAACAACCACCATCATGCTCCTCTTCTTCACCACGGTGCCAAGGAGGTGGCCCACCTCAACCACGAAAACGTCAAGAAGTCCCTTTCCTGTGCCAACCTTGCCAGTTTCGACGGCGATTCCGGCCAGGCTCCGTCGGCGCCGCTGAGCACCAAGCGCATCCCGGTTTCTTCTACGCTGAAGCCCGGAACTGGGGGAACATCTTCTTCCCCGCGGAGGGTGATTGTCCAAGCGTCCACCAGCGAGCTGCTGAAGTGCCTGGGGGAGTTCCTGTGCCGTCGCTGCTTCCGGCTGAAGCACCTGTCGCCCACGGAGCCCATCCTGTGGCTGCGCAGCGTGGACCGCTCCCTGCTATTGCAGGGCTGGCAAGACCAGGCATTCGTGACTCCAGCCAACGTGGTCTTCGTGTACCTGCTCTGCCGGGAGACCCTAGACGGGGACGAGGTGGGGGCCGAGCACGAGCTGCAGGCCGCCCTGCTCACCTGCCTCTACCTGTCCTACTCCTACATGGGCAACGAGATCTCCTACCCGCTCAAGCCTTTCCTGGTTGAGACCTCCAAGGAGGCCTTCTGGAACCGCTGCCTGCGCATCATCCACGCCATGAGCGCCAAGATGCTACGCATCAATGCTGACCCGCACTACTTCACGCAAGTCTTTGCCGACCTCAAGAACGAAGGCAGCGCCGGCGCCGGAGGAAAAGGCCGGGAAGAATTCACCCGCCTCCTGGACCGGTGACCGCTTGACCACTGGACATTTCCTGCCCACCTCTCGGACTTGATTTCCCTTCCTAAGCATTGCACTGGAAACTCAACACTCCTGCCCACTTCTTGGACCATCAGTTGAACGTTCCTGCCCTTGAACCCATGGCTGGACTTTCCTACTGGTCACTGGACATGACATTCTCACTTGGACATATCATTGGATGTTCCTGGCCAGTTCTTGCACTGGAATCTGGGCTTTACTGTCCAGATCTTGGACCTATCATTGGATTTTTGAACCAATGGCTGGACTTTCCTGCTCAGTTCCTAAACAGGTTTCTGGATGTGACCTTCTCGCTTGGACCTATCGTTGGATGTTCCTGCCCAGTTCTTGCACTGAATCTGGACTTTCCTGTCCAGAACTTGGACCTATCGTTGGATTTTCTTGCCCAGATCTTGGACCACGATCTGGACCTTCCTGCTAAGTTCTTGCAGCTGGATTTCCCTTCTCGTTGGATGTTCCTGGCCAGTTCTTGCACTGGAATCTGGGCTTTACTGTCCAGATCTTGGACCTATCATTGGATTTTCTTGCCCAGATCTTGGACCAGGATCTGGACATTCCTGCTAAGTTCTTGCAGCTGGATTTCCTCTCTCGTTGGATGTTCCTGCCCAGTTCTTACACTGGAATCTGGACTTTCCTGTCCAGATCTTGGACCTATCATTGGATTTTTGAACCCATGGCTGGACTTTCCTGCTCAGTTCCTAAACAGGTCACTGGACATGACAGTCTTGCTTGGACCTATCATTGGATGTCCCTGGCCAGTTTTTGCACTGCAATCTGGACTTTCCTGTCCAGATCTTAGACCTATCATTGAGTTTTCTTGCTCAGACCTTGGACTGGGATGTGGACCTTCCTGATAAGTTCTTGCAGCTTGATTTCCCCTCTCGTTGGATGTTCCTGCCCAGTTCTTGCACTGGAATTTGGACTTTCCTGTCCAGATCTTGGACCTATCGTTAGGTTTTCTTGCCCAGATCTTGGACCAGGATCTGGACCTTCCTGCTAAGTTCTTGCAGCTGGATTTCCCCTCTCATTGGAAGTTCTTGCCCAGTTCTTGCACTGGAATCTGGACTTTCCTGTCCAGATCTTGGACCTATCGTTGGGTTTTGTTGTCCAGATCTTGGACCAGGATCTGGACTTTCTTCCTAAGTTCTTGCAGCTGGATTTCCCCTCTCGTTGGATGTTCCTGCCCAGTTTTGCACTGGAATCTGGACTTTCCTGTCCAGATCTTGGACCTTTCGTTGGGTTTTCTTGCCCAGATCTTGGACCAGGATCTGGACCTTCTTGCTCAGTTCTTGCAGCTGGATTTTACCTCCTAAACATTGAGCTGAGAATTCAACACTCCTGCCCAGATCTTGCACCATCAGTTGAATTTTCCATGTCCTTTTTTTTTTGGACTTTTTTGGACTTTCCTAAACAGGTCGCTGGACATTCCTACTAGACTATCGTTGGACTTTCCTGCCCTGTTCTTGGACCTGTAAACTTGAATTTCCTCAGACTAGTAGCTGGATTTTCCTGCCCAGATCTTGGACTGTTGGCTGGGTTTCTCTGTGTCCGCTGAGATCTTTTTGGTGCAACCTTTGCATTGCATCTCCATCAGGCATGGGCCAACTTTGGCCTTCCCTCCAGGTGTTTTGGACTCCAACTCCCATAATTCCTAACAGCCTCAGGCCCTTTCCTTTACCCCTCAGCCGCTTAAGCGGATGAGGGGGAAAAGGAAGGGGCCTGAGGCTGTTAGGAATGGTGGGAGTTGGAGTCCAAAACACCTGGAAGGCCAAAGTTGGCCCATGCCTGATCTACACACTACTTTGGCACAACTTCCAGAAGTTCCTTTCCTTTTCTCCCTTCCTTATAGCTTGTCAAATTTTAGATTTTCGGCCTTCCGACAAGTTTGCTCTGGATTCCAGATGGATGCAGCAAGTCACACAAAGGAGGCATTTTATTCGAGTGATTATCTAATATATAAAATAGCAAAAAATGTTTTTTTTGGGTTTCCCTCTTTGCTAATTTATTTTTTCGTTTTGCAAAGTATTCTAGTACATTTGCTGGGGAGGGCTGATGATGGTAATATTTGACAAGGTTTGGGA